GACACGATAACGAATCGGGTCCTATCGGGTAACCCGATAAGCACCTATTAAGATAACGGGTTGGTTCGGGTATACACGTGGGTAACACGATACACGATAAGCAAAATATTAATTTTAGAACCCTAAAAAAATACTATAATAATTATATATATATATATATTAATTTAACAATTTTATACCCCTAATAACTATAATTATATATATATATATATATTAAATTAAATATTAAAAATTTGTGACCATTGGATCGGCTTAAATATACATACCATTCAATTTCTTAAGTGTTATATGTACAAAATAAATAAATTTAAATCTACTTAATAAATATATATATACCATTGAACGTGATACAAATTCTACGAAACTAATTTCAACGATCTAACCGTCAACTTTATTATATATGCTTTGAGATCGCATCAGTAAAAAAATGCAAAAAACAAACATTCAAAGATCAAGCAACGGAACAAAACTTTTCGACAGTTATCAACGAAAAATCACGATTTAACTGTTATTTTAACTCCGATTTTGATGATTTTTTACAGCTACAATCCTTGACCCTATATGAATACAATGAATGAACTCGATCTTCAATTTAAAATATTCACACTAGTGGATACCACAAAATCTTATGTTATACTTAATGAAAGTATGAATAAACTCTTAAGTGTTAGTGAATCTATTGTTTTGATGAGATACACATTCTACGAAACTAGTTTCAACGATCCAACCATCAAACATGATTGTATATACTTTGAGATCGCATACACCAAAAATTGCAAAAAACAAACATTCAGAGATCAAGTAACGGGATAAAGCTTTTCGACGGTTATCAACTAAAAATCACGATTTAACATTTATTTTAACTCCGATTTTGATGATTTTTTACAGCTACACTCCTTGACCCTATATGAATACAATGAATAAATTCGTTCCTTAATTTAAAATATTGACACTAGTGGATGTGGATACCACAAAATCTTATGTTATATTTAATGAAAGTATAAATAAACTCTAAGTGTTAGTTAGTCTATCGTTTTGATGGGATACGCATTCCAACTATCAAACTTGTTTGTGTATGCTTCAAGATCGCATACGCTAAAAATCGCAAAAAATAAACATTCAGAGATCAAGTAACCGAACAAAACTTTTCGATGGTTATCAACGAAAAATCATGATTTAACGGTTATTTTAACTCCGATTTTGATGATTTTTTACAGCTACACTCCTTGACCCTATACGAATACAATGAATGAACTCGATCTTCAATTTAAAATATTTACACTAGTGGATACCACAAAATCTTATGTTATACTTGATGAAAGTATGAATAAACTCTTAAGTGTTAGTGAATCTATTGTTTTGATGGGATACACATTCTACGAAACTAGTTTCAACGATCCAACCATCAAACATGTTTGTATATACTTCGAGATCGCATACGCCAAAAATTACAGAAAACAAACATTCAAAGATCAAGCAATGGGACAAAACTTTTCGACGGTTATCAACGAAAAATCACGATTTAACGGTTATTTTTACTCCAATTTTGATGATTTTTTACAGCTACACTCCCTGACCCTATATGAATACAATGAATGAACTCGATCTTCAATTTAAAATATTCACACTAGTGGATACCACAAAATCTTATGTTATACTTAATGAAAGTATGAATAAACTCTTAAGTATTAGTGAATCTATTGTTTTGATGGGATACACATTCTACGAAACTAGTTTCAATGATCCAACCGTCAAACATGATTGTATAAACGTTGAGGTCTCATACGCCAAAAATTGCAAAAAACACACATTCAGAGATCAAGTAATGGGATAAAACTTTTCGACGGTTATCAACTAAAAATCACGATTTAACGGTTATTTTAACTCCGATTTTGATGATTTTTTACAGCTACACTAATTGACCCTATATGAATACAATGAATGAATTCGATCTTCAACTTAAAATATTACACTAGTGGATACCACAAAATCTTATGTTATACTTAATGAAAATATAAATAAACTCTAAGTGTTAGTGAATCTATCATTTTGATGTGATACACATTCTACAAAACTAATTTCAACGATCCAATCGTCAAACTTGTTTGTATATACTTCAAGATCGCATACGCCAAAAATCGCAAAAAACAAACATTCAAAGATCAAGTAACGGGGCAAAAATCTTCGATGGTTATCAACTAAAAATCACGATTTAACGGTTATTTTAACTCCGATTTTGATGATTTTTTATAGCTACACTCCTTGACCTTATATGAATACAATAAATGAATTTGATCTTCAATTTAAAATATTTACACTAGTGGATATCACAAAATCTTATGTCATGATGATTGATGAAAATTGAGGATTTTGTAAAAAGAGTAATGCAAGCTTTGAGTTGCATTGGCAAAGTTTAAACTTTTGAGAAAGGCTTCACAACCTTGAAAACAAAAACTCTTTTATTTTGCATATCCTTGCACATTTAATATTTTGTAATAGACTAGTAGTGTATGAATGTTTGTTTATTATGCTCTTATTTTCGAGTGTAGATGTAGTACTTAAACGAAAAATTTGTTTTAATGTTTTGAAGTAATATTTTTGTGGCAATGTGTGGTATGTGCAAATTTAAGAAAAAAAATTATTTTTCTTAACGGGGTCATAATGGTTCATAACGGGTCGGGTCACTTTACCTGACCCGACCTGTTAAGCACCTGTTAAGATAACGGGTGTGACACGACACGACCTGTTAAGATAATAGGTGTTACACGAAAACGATAGAACACGACAGACACGACCCGTTTGCTAAGCCTACTTAATAGGAAAAGGCAAAGGAGGAGCTAGAAGAAGGAAGAAGAATGGGCGGAAGCAAGCAAACCCCATATGGATAGAGAGTGGATTGATTGATTATTGGCTTTTTGACACGTGTGTAATCATGTCAAAATGCATGTACCTGTTCGTCTGGCTTTGCTTTGCTTTGCATCGCATCTGTGTCCGACAATACCCTCTGCCACCCTTTCGCTCTCTCCTCCTCCCTCTCCAGTGTGAAATGAGTGAGTGACTGAGTCCACCTTTTCAGAAGCAGCTAGAAGTCTGGTGGTATTTCTTTTAAAACGTATTTTTTGTTCACTCATTTGGTTTACGTTTTATTTGTAAGTGAGATGTATTAGGTTTGAATTTCGTAGATGATGAATTCGATACTAAATTAGATTCCCATTGTATAGCTTAAACAAACTCACCCTCCCCTTTGTGTAAAATTATTGTTGTAATAATAAAAACACATCTTTTGTGCTTTTGTTCATCAATAAAAAGATAAAAAAAAGTGTTTTGAAATGGCAAAAATGATTCTCAATAGGGTGTGCTATTTATACACTCTTTTTTACTTCTTATACATCCCTTGTTAATTCTTGTTATTTGATATTCTTTAATTCATTTGATCAGACGACCGCTAATAAAAAAGATATGTAAGAAATAAAAATGGATATGCGAATAACACATCCCTTCTCAATATTCTCATTTTTTAAGAACCCGTTTGGAATTGGTGGATTGCTTATGCAGAAAGTAATGTATAAGTCTGCTCATAATCACACTTGGTAGCAAAATTGTTGTTAGAAGCTTAACAAAATGTTTATTTAGAATTCAAGTGCTTCATGGAAAAGTACTACATTATATATGGTTATATTCGAACTCATGCCGTGGTGTAATGACTTATTTTCGCTATTATGGTAGAGGGTAAATAAATGGTACCAGAAGTGACTTTTTAGATTAAAAATGTCATTTTCGTTAAAAATGAACAGTACCGGGAGTGTTTCGTTAAAACTCCTCTTAAAATTTGGTAGTATGAGTTGGTAGACTGCAATCCGCTCTAGTACTCCTAGTAGAGGTAGCTCATCCTTTTCACTTTGTTTTATCTCTAGTAATCTAATAGAGAAGCCAAAACCTATAATTATATAAAACATTTAGTTGAATCTTTCTGTTTTTAATTTGCCCAAATAGTTTATATCTTAAAATATTCAAAATCTTGAACAATTCTAGCCTTATGAATTTCCAACAACGAATTCGTTGATCCACTTTCACATAAGCCGGCAAGTGGAGTAATTGAAATGTCTTTTTGACGTCTCGAGTCACTAATACAATACTTTATATATAAGAAATATATTATTAGCATGAGATGTCACAAGTTAGAAGAGTCGTAGATGACTTTTCTAAAATGAGAGGCCAATTTTATTTTATTTTTTGGGTAAAAATAGGAGCTAAATTTTTTTTTTAACAAACGATATTATTTAACTAAGGGGGTGGGGAGGGGAGAGTGGGCTAAGCCTCACATTGCTAGTAATAATGTGGTTCAAATTCGTTTTTGGTAAGAATTGAAAACATTTCACTTACTAGTGAAAATGAATACCAATAGAATATAGTACTAAGTGGCGTCTTCGTAACCAAGCTATAATTAGTTAGGTCCCTGCTCTAAGCAACATAACGAATCATTACCATTACATGAATAGCATATTCGGAAAGCCAAAAATCCCCAAACGCAAAAACAAAGAATAAGAAAGGTAGACTAAACCTCTAATAAAAAAAATAAAAAGCTGATAGAAAAAAAAAAGAACTTTAACGAAAAGCTACTGATACTATTTATTTTAACGAAAAATCACATTTTACACTAAAAAGTCAATCTTGGTACTATTCACTTTACCCTTTATTTTGTCATTTTCGTTAAAACTCAAAGTTTAAGCCATTTTCATTAGTTTTACTAAAAAAAAAAAGAAAAATTTTGAGAGAGATTCACACACCCACAAAATCCCAAAACAGTTCCAAAGCTAAAAACAAAAAAATAAGCAATTACCAAACGTGGTTAATGGGGGAATCCAAATCTGGAAAATTGTTGCAAAACTATATAATAATATTAGAACTTAAATAATTAAAAAAGTTGGGAGGATTTGCAGAGAATTATAAGCTTCCATTTGTTTTTGTAGTCACATAAAAAGAAAAGAGAAGCCCGAACATTAAAACCCCAGATCAAATTCCAAACCTTCCTCTGTGAGTCTTTTTGACTCCTGAAAAAATGAACTGTCGTAAGCAAACTCTCCTCCACCACTCCCACCTCCATCTCCATGCATAAAATTACAAGCTGCATTGCTACTTTTGTTCTACATAGTGTCAATTTATCGTAATTTCCCATTCTCTTCTCTCTCATCTGCTCTCTCTCTAGAGCTAATTGAATTGCTTATGACTTCAAACGAACCCACTGGTACCGACCCTCCAGAGGCACGTCATTGGCGATATCATAGTTGTACCTGCACCAGATTCCGAACCCAATTGGAAACTGATCAAAAAGGGGAAAGTTGTTTGTTTGTTTTTTTTTTTTTTTTGGTTAGTTAGGGTTTCCGATTTCCGTCTCCTGCTAAAATGCACCGGCGGTTGAGTGCAGCACACGAAATGGAAAATTAAAAAAATACGAAAAGAAAATGGAAAATTAATAGAATACGAAAAGAAAATGGAAAAGTGAAAAAGGTACTCACTTCTCTGTAAAGCGCTTATGCTCGTACTTCTCGACGGCGGCAAAGAACTCTTCGATCTCTTCACTCGGAGGCGATTTGCTGACCGGGATTCTCCGCCAGTGAGACACCACCGGTGCCGGCGATGATATTTCGTTCGAGTCCAGGCACAGCTTGCTCGACGGCGTCGTCTCCCTGCTGATGAAACAAAAATTAACCTGAAAAAAATACGTTTCGGTTTGGAGAAATTGAAGAGGGAAATTATGATGAAGGAATGAGAAGTGAAACATGAATTTATTGTTGGTGACGGAGGTCGAGTTGGAGAATGGCGTTTCGGAACTCTTGGCCTGCAAACGGTGCAATGAATTTTGAAATTTAAATTCGAATTTGTTAAACATTGCAATAAAATCTTAGAAACGTAAAATTGAAGGATAATGAAGAGAGAGAGAGAGAGAGAGAGAGAGAGTAAGCGTCTGTTTGTTTCCTGTGAAAATCCTAACGGAAATGAGAAAAATCAACTATTACAGTTTTCCATTCGCTAGTTTCTCTCTCCTCTTTTTGTCTCCTAGTTTTCAAACAGAAAGAAAGGGGGAAGAGAAATTCGAAGCTCGGTGCGAGCTAGGGAGGCGGGATTCACCTCCAGATCTAGGCGAGGTGAGCTACGGGCGGCGGCGACGTCGTTGAGAACATTGGTGGAGCAGCACGAGGATGGAGGCAGAGAGTGATCGGAGCAAAAGCTGGAGCATGAATGGGGGAAGTCGAGGAGCTGAAGTATTGTTGGACTTGGCAGCAATGGAGGCAATGGTGGCGTTGAAGCAGTGATCTTTCTCCTTTTTGATACGGCTGCTGTGGTGGAGTCGTCTATGGCCGCCATTCGCTTACAGTTGCAGTCATCCATCTCACTATCTCCTTTTTCTCTCTCTACAGAGTACATAGAAGGTTAAAGCAGTGCACGCACACACGCACAGAATGTGTGCTTTCTCTCCTTTTTCCCTTTTTTGGTTTTCTAAAGAGAGGGTGCAAAGTGTGAGATCCAAGAGGGATGTTGAGGGAGTGATTTGTTGGACGGCTCAGATTTCGTTTTAAAATTAAACAGAAGTTCAAACGGCTATAAACAGGGAGCTCCTCTAAAAGTTATAATAATTGTAGCCGTTTGATCAAAATCCAACGGTCCGTGTTATTTGGTTAGGAGGATCCCAAGGTTTTGCCTAGGGGAGAGGATCCAATTCCCCTTGGAATTACCTTTTACTGTGTTACTATTTTGGTGGTCTCGACGTCTGGGGTGAAATTGAACGAGTAAAAGGGTGACAATACAAAGGGATTGCTGACGGTGCCATTGCGAAGATCTGGATAACAAACAACGTGCGATTCTTCCTCTGTGGGACAGTTGCCAAAACACAAGGTTTGTTTGTCGTTTTGAGAAATTCTACTTTACCTTTCTGCCTTTCTGTAATTCCAATTAGTACCAATTTTGTTTTGGAATCCGGAAGTATGATTTGAGTGCATATGTTGCATCAGATTATCTCAAACTAGACTAATTCTAGGGGTTGAGTTGGATTGGCTCAGAATAGATTAAGCTGGATTAACTTAGTAAGGCGTTTGGTGCAGTATTGGACTACAAGTAGGATAATAAAAAGTATGATTAAGTACTTAAACCCCCCTAACCTTTTAGTGTCATTCCAAATTAGTCTAAACTTTTTTGCAGCTTTCACAAAACAGTCCTAACCCACATCTCGTCGTTGAAACAGGCGTACATTGTTCATCTCCCATGGGTAGACGATTACTCTATATCACAAGTTCACCTGGGGCTTTTTGGTCTCTTCGTCCTCCCAAAACTGCCAATGGTGCAGCGAACCTCTCGCTGTGCGCATGTACTCATTACCAACTAACAGTCACGCCCCGACGCACCGACTCAGGCATCACCTAACAGAGAACCCAAAGGGTCAACCCACCGCCCTGCCATCAGACCTGCGTATCCATCATCACCAGGACCTAACATATCGAGGAAGGAATGTTTGGGTCGTCGCCTAGGTAACGGCCATAGCGCCACTTCAGGACCTGCCTGGATGCCTCGCTTCCCTCCTCGACCAATTTCAGGCACTCTTTGACATCTCTTTCAAAGTCTTTTCATCTTTCCCTTCGCAAAGAGACCTACATTTTCGGCTGCTTAATAGACATATCGAAGGGTCGTCAATTTGGAAAGCTTAATGAGCTTAATTATTTCGCCGGGGGGTATTTCCGATGAAAAACCAATATATGATAATAAGCGGCTTAGGGCAACGCATTAGATTTATTATAAACAACTTACCTAATCTGAAATTCTTAAGCTCTTCCTTGTAGAAGGATTGCCCTCCCGCTTGCAGCAGATTGGGGGTTCCAATGTCATTGTGTCTACTTTGTTCCGGAAATTCATATTACAACTGCCGACCGTCTGTCCATAGATTGGGAGCGTTTGCCCATATTATATCGGGTGTTGCAGACAGGGTTCCTTGTGGGCACAAGTAATCTGGGGGCTGCTCGACGCGCTATCAATATTAACTGGTTGACGGCGACATCATCACCATTTTTCATTGTGGGTACGTGTGGTTTGGACATACTACCAAGGTTTACTTGCTGCTGAAAAATTTATGGGCGAGTAAACCAATGTGACCATTTTTCGGGTTTAGGGTTTAGTTACTTGTTTGGGGAATTTTTAAGAACAAAAGTTGTCATGGAACTCTAATTTAAGAATTCGCACAGCAACTAAAATATACAGAAGGTTTGGGAGGAGCGGCTCTTGTAGCGTATTAGGATCCAAGACACAGTAAACGTATTTTACTCTTTAGTCTGTGTGTCTTGTCTTGCTTCTAAAATTCTTTTCTTGTGAAACTTTCTTCTTGGTCTTCTTTTGCATCTTTTCCTGCCCATATGGGTTCGCTAGCCGTTACTTAGGGGAATCCTCGTAAGTATTCTTTTCCCTCAAGCTTATTGAATATGCTTAAATTCAGCGGGGTCAACCCCGCCTGACCTGGGGTCGCGTTGAAGCTCCGCCGAAGCGAGAGCCAGCGGGCCGTCGGCGGAGCCGCTTCCGGAGGCGGACGAAGCGCACAACTGGCAACCCGAGGTTCGAGCGAAACCGATCTGTCGCTTGTCGCCGTCTGTTCGTCTACCGCCGAGGATTTCTCCTTGGTTGTTCCAAATATTTGCGGCCTACCATCACGCTCGCGGATCAATTATTAGTGATCGCATTCAGAGGAGCAGCCATCAGTTTACATGTCTCATCAATTCAATTCACCATTCGTCCTCTAATCCCGATTCAGAACTTTGCATTTCGAATGTCGTAAAGGGATCTCGTCGTCCTTGATCGGGACTGGGGCGGCAATTGCGCGTGATGACCGCCGCAAAACTGCAACCTAGGCAGGCGTGCCCGTCGGTGCCGGCGCTTGTGTATTCTGAAGGCTCGGACAACTCAGTTGCGCTTCGAACTTAGTTCTTAGAGCATATCATGATGTGCTGGATTCATCGGTTAGTTGTTAGACGTTTCAAGTCAGTATACGACAGAGAGAGATAAGCTCCGAGTAAGACAGCAGTAAGACATACACAGGTTTAAGCGCTAATTTCGCTACATGGATTTCTTTCTCATCCTGTATCGCCTTCGGCAGTAAGACGATCAGACTAACTTAGTTCTGTGTCGAGTCTGCGGCACATTTATTTAATGCTCGGTACGTCGCGTTATTTACAGACACTTGTACTCGTATAAGTATCTAGGGTACGACGGTCAAATCTAAGTGAAAGTTTAATAGCCGCAGCAAAACAGTCTTGATGGCCGGTTATGATCTTGGTGGTTGGGGATGCGTAGTGTATCTTACCGTATTTTACGAGCTTGTACGGAGACGGGTAGTGCTTTTGCCGTCTGCTAATATCTCCACCATAACTATTTTAATTAGTAATCAGGAATTATCCTTTAGGGAGCGGGCATAAGTCCACGCCGCAGCAGCAGAATAGAGAAATTAGATTGGTTGAATCGGCTGAGGACCTGGCGGTTAGACTGAGAGCAGGGCTTATTCTCCGTGAGAGAATGTTGACGTCCGGGCCAGGAGGCTCGGCCGTTTATCTTTAGGCTTCCGGTTTTGTAGAAACAATTGTCAGTTGATATAATTTTAGAGGTGAAATGGAAAACTGTTAGATGTCAGTGGCTAACAGGAAGAAGATGCACATTCGTCGGCTTACAGAAACAAGTTGTCAAGTGTTTCGCATACAATATATGTATTTAACCTTAAATATGCGCTAGAGATATAGATACATCACTATGGAACCTATTATTTCCTTGATATACTGTACATATTCTCTTTGGTTTCTCTAAAAAATTTGATGTGATAGAGATTCATGATTTTTGGTAAAGACGCTCCTACCCGTCGTGTGTAAACGTACGCGGCAAGCGATACTTTTCACAATTTCGGATCCTGCGGTTTTTGTTTTAGGCGTCCTAACTGCGAACTCAGAGTGACATCATTTTACATATGCGACGAAGAGATCCACTCTTCAAATCAGGCAGGATTGTCAAATTTTCTTTTTGGGTGGAGAATCGGTGCCGAGACAGATGGTGGGGCTGGGGTTCTGGGTGCTACAACATGGTAGACACTCGGAAGCGGGATACACGAAAATCATTATGTTTACAGAAAGGAGGGCTTGGATCGCTAAAATGCTAGATACCGACTCGCCGCATATATCTAAAATATGTGTGGTTAATTGGCAATTCCAAAGGTCGATCTTGTTAAATAGGTAACCATACAATTGACATGATTAATAACTATTCACCTCATTTGATGGGCCTGACTGGCGGTCGTAATCTATAATCGATTAAATCAAAAGCTTAATCTTATCTATAATATGGGTCTTGAAAAGAATAAATATAATTTTTTTTGTCGATTGTATTGGTTCTAAAGTACGGAGCAGGCTTAGAATCAGGCCGATATGTGTCTAATTACGTCATCGTTTTGTTACGGATGGGTTTATCTACCATCTAGGTATGTAGTCAAGTGTCTTTGCCCGTTAGGGAAGTATGGTATAAAAGTGGTAAATTTTGGCGCGCGGACAGATCCCTCCTACATAATAGGGTATCAACAGACCTGTTTAATTTCACTGGTTAAGGCTCTTTCATACTTCCTTGGGCCGTTAAACTAGCGGCCCATGTAATGGTACAGATCCTCCTACATGGAGGAACAAAGCTGTGCCCGCGCCGGCGACGGATGGAGATGATCATCCGCATAGCTTAGTTCCACCATTCTAGGGAAATTAAAAATAAATTATTTATAATTAAAATAAAAAAAATTAAACATATACTATATAATTAAAAAAAAAAAAAACTTCATCTTCCCTAGATTCGGAAGAAGAAGAAGGAGAAGGAGGAAGGAAGAAGGAGAAGAAGGAGGAAGAAAAAAAAAAACCGACCCTGCAACCCAGATTCAAAAAGGAAGAGAGAAGAAGGAAGAAGAAGAAGAAGGAGGAAGGAAAGGAGAAAAAAAAAAAAACCGAATTGGGAAGAAAAGAAGGAGAAGGAAGACGGAGGAAGGAGGAAGAAGAAGAAAAAAAAAAAACCCGAATCTGCAACTCAGATTCGGAGGAAGAAGAAGAAGAAGAAGAAGGAAGGAAGAAGGAGGAAGAAGGAGGAAGAAAAAAAAAAACCGAATCTGGGAAGAAGAAGAAGGAGAAGGAAGAAGGAGGAAGAAGAAAAAAAAAAAAAGCTAAAATACAAATTAACTCGGAAAGAAGATGGCAACCTGGTCAGCTTGGTATACCTTGGAGGACGAAGAGAGAAAGAAATAAATTAATTCAAGCCCGAAAGGCCTTCCCTGACCTCACGGATTTCGAGGGGATGGAAGAAGGAAGCCACAG